AAAAAAAAAAAAAAAAAAAAAATGTTCTCAATCAACCTCCAAAGCAGAGCTCTTTCATCTAGGTTCTGAATGCATCATGGGCAAATCTCTATTATAGGTACTATGTCACTGTATTACCATTATTTGACAAGGATGGTCTATTATTATTAATCCTTATACCCTAAGAATAAAGCATACCTTCAAACACTGGAGAGGAGCGGGGCAAGGGAATGATTTAGACCTCCCTTCGTGGAAAGGGGTTCAAGGTAGTAATTACTTGAAAGTAGGTACCCTCCAAATTCAAGATTAAAGGAGGCACAAAACAAGGAAACCCTGCAATCCGAAAACCGAGTTCTTACCTTATCATAGGAAGCAGACGTGAGATCATCATAGTCAGAAAGCCAGGGATGAGCCTCTGCGTCCCGTTTCGCCATCTCCTCCAACTCTGCCTGCAACTTGTCCCAGAAATCGACATCGGACTGTAAGGAAGGGAAGGCAAATAGAAAAAGGAGATCCATCATGACCACCCCACCTGACGCTCAGCGCCGCTAGGATAGATTCCGTAAGGCAGTAGTTCTTAAATGTCAATGCATTTAAGATCTCCTGAAGAGCTTTTTTAAGTGAAGATTCCTAGATCCTACGCTCAGATCCTGATTCTGCAGTGTGAGCTGATGCCCTACCCCAAGCATTCTGACACAAAGGGCCCAGGAACACTAGGACATACAACATTCGTGGTACGTTTCTTTGCTGTTAAAACACCCACTCTCTCCAAAGGAGTGTTTTCTCTTGAGGTGTCTGCTCCTGTGCTACCTGCTCTCACCTCTATAGCTGACTTGGCTCGTTCAAACTCCATATCGAGGGCAGCTGTGTTTACTGGTCTTGTGAACTGGTCAACCCAGGCATCTGATGTACCCTGTGACAAAGAAGGATGGTCAGACCACCACCAACTTTCTACTGACTAAATACCCACTAAACACCAGCAACCTGCACACTTCTGAGAACATTCTCAGGATCTCTTTCCCACCCACTCAGGACCTCGATGCTACCAAGACAAGCTGGCAATAAAATCCCTTCCCCGTCTAGGACCACTGAACACTGAACCCAAGGCCTGGGGCACCAGCCGGCTCTCAAGTGGGACTGGGAAGTGACAATGTCCTACCTGCTGCTGTATAAACTCTGCTGCCCACTGTTCTGCCTGAGCTCGGCCCGACCCTGCACCGGACTCCAGGGACACCTGCCCCTCGCCAATCTGCCGCACGAATTTCAGGAACTGGGGCACAGAGACACACATAGGCCACTTGGGAGAGGACTTCCAGGTGTGCACTCTCAACCATGCCCAAGAGAAGCCTGCACTCACCCTCCCCCTGACCATCTCTAGCTGCAGGCAAGATTTGCTAAAAGACCCTGAAAAATGTAGAGAACAAAAAGAAAGGAATTTCTGGCTTTAAAGATTTGAGAAGACACAGAAAAGCAACAGGGTGAGTATGCAAGGAAGTGAGGGAAAGAATGCTGAAAGTAAGAGGCAGGATGCGAAGTCTCTATTCTCAAGACAGGAAGGCATGGACCTGGGATCTTATTTCCTTCTCTTTAAACTGGGGTATGAAAAGCTAGACTCTTGGCTTTGGAGGCCAGCTCTGCTGGGCAAAATAGCAGTGGGATGTGGCTCACCTCAGAGTTAGCCAACTTGGGGTCATCCACCTTGGCCACAAAATCACTGGCTGTGTGCTGCAGATCCTCCTCGGGATGGTATTCATCATACCTGGAACAGGTAAGGGCAAACGAGTTCCACACACTCGTCTGCCACCACCTTCCCCATGCTATTCCCCACCCCCCAGCCCCTGGCATCACAGTTCTTATCAAGGAAAAGACACACATTCTTGCTGAGGTCCTACAAATTCCAATTTACATTAAAAAAGGACACTTGGGGGGGGGGG